TGAAAAAGAGCACCACGTCGGTCTGGGCACCCTTGCAGCTGGTAATGCGCTTCTCACAGTCAATGTGGATGGTCCGCTTGGGGCGCCGGGCTCGTCGCCGTCGCCCTCCACTGCCATTTCCAGCACTGCCTGGGCCCGAGCGGCCATCACTGCCCGCCGGGTCCGCCAGCTCCACCTCTAAGGCGGCAGGCGGCTCCCCCGAACCATTCTGCCCATGCAGGAGGTCAGCTCGCGGTGCTCGGCCCAGATTCTCCACTAGTAACCGCCCGTTGCGGTACACAGTGATTCGGCGCTGGCAGCGGACCAAGCCTGACCCGTCCCCCTGGGCAGCATCTGGCAGTGGTGGATGTGGGTTGGGAGATGGAGCGGGTCCAGCATGCTTCACCCGCAGCACACGGCCAGGCTTGACCTCCACAAAGGTGTAGCCATCACTAGACTCAATGCTCTCCAGAGGTCCCACAGCGTTAGAAGGTGCGCCCAGCAGGCAACAGAAGATGCCATCGGTCACCCCGGTCAGCATGGTGTGTCCTGTGAGTGGGGTGACAGCCAGTTCAAGGGCTAAGTGAGGAGCCCTCCACCCCCACAGCACCCGCTACCCCCACCTGGGTCAGGTGAGCTGCACTGGGAGGTCCCATCCAGTCTCCAGACCAGAGGGCCAGAGCCAGCAAAACCCTGAGATGTTTTGTCTGGTCAGTGCCTGTGTGGTGGTCTGCTACACCCCTGGCCAGCCTAGTCTATCCTAGAGAGAAGGACCTGGCTATGGCTGAAGCCAAGAAGCATCTATTGAGAAGGTGGTGTAGTCAGCGGGTACTTCCTGGAGGAGGTGACATTAGAGCAAGTGTAGCCTAGCCCTAATGACCCCTCCCCTGAACTCAAGTTTTTAGCAGTTATGGTTTTTTAAGCCAATTCATTCACTCATTTATCCATTGCCAATTCATTCACTCATTTATCCATTCATTCATTCATGCATGCACTCTTTCATTAACTCACTTTCACTAAACCAGCACATTCTGGGGGCCTCCAAAGGCATCTAAAAAGGTGCAGATCCCAGTGAGTTCCCATTCCAGGCTTCTGCACCTGGCTCCTAAAATGTGATGTCCGAGGGAAGGGGTCCTGTATTGAGCTCCAGAAGGCCTTGTCCTGCTCCCCAAGACCATGGTGCACTGGGTCTGTTTCACAGATAGACAAGCTGAGGCCCAGACACTCTGCCACTCTGCACCCCTTGGTCAGTACCCTAGGTCTGGGGGTCTGCCACACAACCCCCAGTAGTAGTGTGCTCCCTGGGCCATCCTCCACCGCCCCCGTGCCCATGGCAACCACAGGCAGTTACATAACTCAAGGGGGACACCAGCGCTGCGCACCCCTATTGTTTAGGGCTTGGAACCAATACCTCCCCCGTCCCCACCCTGGACTCTTTCGTGATAACACACGCCGAAAGCCCAGCCTATGGTGGCCCATACTTGCCGATGGAGGGAGATCAGGCCTCGTCCCCAACCTCCGGCGGGGTCCCAATCCCTGAATACAGAGGGGTTTGCACATGCGCCACGCCAGCCCCCATTCCCGGAGCCAGGTCTCTGCCTCCCGGGTGCCCATCAGCCCTACGGCGTGGTCAAGGCCACTGGGGCTCCACGGCTTCCTAAGCCTGAGCACAGTCTCTGTGGACACCTCCATCCTTAATGGAAGCCCCGGGGTCCTCGATGTCCCATCCCAGTGTCCACTCCCTGCTCACCTCATATAGGACTTGGGCCCGAGGACGGGCGGAGGGGTCCCAGGCGAAGAAGCCAGCGTCCTCTTGAGGGCACCGTTTACATGGTGGCACCGGGTCAGACCGGGTGCGTCTATGCTGGCGGGCGCAAGCCCAGGGCGGTCAGCGCGGGGACACCCCTTGACCGCCTGGCGAGCCGACCCTTTAAGTCTCTCCGGGGGTCGGGCCGTGCGACGACTGACGGGAGCTTCCACCAGTTGCAGCTGCGGACTGACCCGGCCTAGTTAGACTACCAATCAGAGGAGGTATCTCCGGGACAGAGGCGGGCTCAGAAGGTAACGGTCCCTCCCCCTCCGGGGGCTTACCGAGGTGAAAGGAGGGATTAGGCCTGGCCCAGGGCCGAGAAGAGGGGGCAACCTGGGGTCTGCGGAGCTCCTGGGAGGGGCAGCCGGGACCCCGTGGTTGCGACTAGGTTCCCCCCGGCCAGCCTGACTCCAAACTCTCCTGTCCTCTCTAAACGGAGTCCCCATGGCCCCTTCTCTGTGCTGACCTTCCCGTTCTAGAGAATCCCAGACCTTTTCAGGTGGGAAACTGAGGCTCATAAAGAGCACAAGGTCACAAGGCAAGCCAGGCACAGAGATGTGCACATTTAAAACCACGTTGTGATTCCAAAATGTGGATATTGTTACACATTAAACCTTTAAATAGACGTCTTGGAGCTATGGGTAATTAGGGAATTGGAGTTTCACAGATTGGTCAATTTAACTGTTGGCCAATTTAACCAGGTGACTCTGTGGTCCTAGCTGGGATCAGAGTGTCCAGGGTTCAAATCTGTCCTCTGCCTTTTGTTGATTTGTGACCTTGGGCAAGTCGCTTCCCTGACATTACATTTATTTCTTTGTGAAATTAATCCTCTCATGAGTTTGCTCTGCAGGTAAAAACAGCACGATAAATGCTGGCAACATTACTGGTATCATTGTACTGGTGTAGCAGTGTAGTAAGTATTGTAGTGGTTTGCCAAGTGATGAGCTTAGAGGACAAGGGGCTAAACATTCCTTGCCCACTCCCATCTCCTGGAATTTGCTGCCAGAGCTGTATTAGGTCCAGCCACCCACTCTTGCCCACGCAGGGTGCTCCAGAGAGACTACAGTTTATTCATGCAGCAAACACTCTCCTTCTCCCGTACCCCCACTCTGGGTCCTCCCCAAGTTGAGAGATGCTGGGTGCCTGCAGGAATTCAGTCCTGAGCCTGGCCCTTGAGGACCCCCTGGTCTTCAGAGAGAGGAGGATTTTAAAAGACGAATAGGGGAGCATCAGGAAGGTGTGGTTGAAATTTAGGGTGTGTGTTGCATGCCTGCCAGAGGATCTGGCTATTTTCCCTGGCACCATGGGGAGCCATAAAGGGAAGGGGCTCAGATTTGAGTATTAGAAACATTTTTCTAGGACCCGCATGGTGCCAACCTCCAGGGGCAATGTACAACCCATGAGTTTCACAGATTGAGAGACTGAATCCTGGAAGGGAGCAGGGACCACCCCAAAGAACATCCAGCCAACTGGACGGAACTCAAGTCTCCTGGGCTCCGTGCCAAGGGGCGGAGACGTGGCTAGGGCCAGAATAAAGCTGTCAGCCAGCTGTGTGCCATCCGCCCGGCTCCCGCTGGGAGTGGGAGGACCAACTCGCATCCGGCGGCCGCCACAGGCTGCTCCATGGCCACCCCGGGGCTCCCTCTGCCAGTGGACAGGAAAAAGGAACTACAACTCCCAGTTGACCCCGGGACAAAATGTGTTGTACGCACGCGCAAGCCGAAGAGGTGCCATTCGCCTGCCACCTGTTGGTTGACATGAAGAACTATACCCCGTTCCCTCAGGGACGCGCACGCGTAGAACAAGAGCTCACCCCCACCCCCACCCCGGCTCCGAGGCAAAGCAGGCTTGGCTGTAGGAGAAACTACATTTCCGAGAGGTCTTCGTCCCACCGCTGCGAAGCCTATTGTTTTCGGGGTAGCTGGCGCCGGAACGGCGTGACCGGCGGCTCGGCATGGCTCTCTTGGCCGGATCCATCGGTCGCCAGTCGGGCTTCGTCAGTAGGTCGGCAGCACTGCTTGATGCCAGGTAAGTCCTCAGGGGCCCCGTCCCCAAATCCGGAAGTTAGGACAGCAGCGCCAGCTGTTTTTGACCTTTTGCAACCAGCCTCCTTACCGCCACGGATCGGGAAGCTGAGGCTCAGAGAGGTCGAGCGCCAGGCCCAAAGTCACACAGCGCTCTCTCTCACCTTTCTCGCCTTCCCTCCGATCCCGCAGGTGGCTGCAGCCCTGGGCCTGGCTGGGGCTCCCCGACGCCTGGGGACTCACCGCCACGCAACAGACCCGGGGCAAGGCGCGCGGAAACGAGTATCAGCCGAGCAACATCAAACGCAAGCACAAGCATGGCTGGGTTCGGCGCTTGAGCACGCCGGCTGGCGTCCAGGTCATCCTTCGCCGCATGTACAAGGGCCGCAAGTCGCTTAGCCATTGAAAAGCGCTATGCTACCGGTGGAAAACCACCCCCACCCCTATTCTCAACCTCGGACCTCTCCTGCTGCTGGGGAGCAAGGGCGACTCAGACATGAGTAGTACTCCTCAGATTGTGGGGTTGGCCCAAGGACAGAAGTCGGGTCGGACTGAAAAGGGGAGTGGGAAGTCAGACTTTGCCAAGTTGCTTTTTATGCTTTTGAATTAGAAAGAATTTTGAATATATGGCACCAGTCCACAGACTAGTACAGTGAACCCCGTTTACCCAGTACACGGCTCTGACAACCAGTGATCCAAACTCTGCCTGCCCCCTTCTGTGTTAATTAGAAGCACGTCTCAAACATCTGGTTATTTCTTACGAGTATTTCAGAATGCATCTCTCCAAGAAAAGGGCCCTTTAAAACAGTCACAAAACTTTTCGCACCTAGAAGAATAGTCAATAATTTCTTAATACCATGAAATGTCTTATAAATGTATAAACTTCCGCTTGTCTTACATGCATCATAACTTTCACAAGTCTGGGAAGGCTTGTGGGGAGGTAGGAGGGGTTTGAATCCTTTGCCTGATGGATCGTGTGACCTTGAACAAAGTCTTAGCCCTCTGAGGCTCATTTGAATCCTGTAAAATGAGATGCTTGTTTTTCATTTGCTGTGTTGTTGGAGTAATATAATACTTAGTGGTTTTCACGTAGTAACTTCCTGAGTACTTCTCTTTCTGGGTGCCCGGCCCTGTCCTCTGCAGATACCAGTCTGGTGGGGTGGGGTGGGGACATGAACTGATTTATACCTAGGCCGCTGGGACACTGGAGTCTAGGCCGGGAGGAGGATTGTCAGGTACAGGAGCTGCCTACGTTGGCTTCAGGAAGAACGCAGTAAGCGAAGGCTTCCTGGAGTATGTGGCAGGGTGATGAGGGCCCAAACGGAGGAGAGATTGAATGGGTCAGGATAAAAGGTAAACGAGGGAGGCCAGATGGGCTGAATCCTTGGGGCACTGGGGACCCACGGGTGTTTGAACAAGAGTCTGAATTGTCAGTTCATAGATACTCGAGCAGCTAGCGCGGGAGCGGTTTATGTGGAAATCTAAGGTTGGGACGTCGGCGGGGAGGCTGGGAGGGCTACAGGAGTCCCAGACTTCCGGGACTGCTGTGGTAACCAGGAAACCCGCCGTATAAAAAAGCGCAGCAAGCGCTAGAACCAGGAGAAAGCTGCGGAACCTCAGGAGTTGTGGACTACAAATCCCGAGAGGTTTCGGGGATGCGGCCTCCACCCACTTCCGGGTTTCGCAGCGCCCCCCTCCACCCCTCCGCCAAGTCCCGGGCGGGGTTTTGCTTCCTCAACCGAACCTGACCACGAAGGGATAGGCGTGGCGACCAACGGGTTCGCGATTTGGCAGGATCTGGCCAATGGGAGCGCGCAGAGCACGGGCATCCTGGAGGCGGGGCTAGAGGGCAGACCAATGACGGGAGGGTGACGGCGACATCAGCGTCGGCTGCGCGGTGGCTGGAAGTTACTGTGCGGCGGTGGCTAAGAAGGGGGCTGTGGTGGCTGCGGTGGCGGCTGCGGCGGTGGCTGAGGCAGCGACGGAGGAAACAGAAGATGGTGAGGGCAGCTTCCGGGCCCGTAATCCTACTCCGCTCAACAAAATGGCGACGCGGGCCCTCCCACCTTTAGTAATCCCCTAGGCCCCTCACCTCCCGACCCGGCCCCCTCCAGGCCCTGCCCCGCCCCTCGTTCTGACCTATGACTTTAGGCCTCCGGGTCCTTGCTGCAGGCTTCCTTCTGACCCCACCTCGGCTTCTTCGACCTCTGACCCTATCTTGACTTCCAGGGCCTGGCAACTCATTCATTTCCGGGGCGCGTCTCCCCCTGGAAATCTCTGGGGGTGGGGATGGGAGTACCTCGAGATCCCCCAGCTCAAGCCTCGTCTTTGGCGCTCGGGGCTTGGGTCTCTCCAGTTCACGAGGGCTTGGGAGGCCGACCTGAGAGTTGGGGCGGGGGAAGGGGCTTGACATGGTGACATGCGGGGCTTTGTTGCCAAAGGAAGTGCGACATCACGGACTCCTGGTCCCCCAGAGCTCTGACCTCACCCTGCCACCATTCGGGGCCCGACTTGCTCCAAAGAAGGAGCAACTTCATTTCTCCGATCCTCACGCTCCTTCTGTGTTAAATGGGCATGGCGATAGGGCTCATAGGGTTGTGACAATTCAGGGAACTGACGTCGTAGAGTTTAAGACAGTGAACGCTCAACAGATGAGCCGGGTGACTTGGAGGTGGTAACATCCTGTCTCAGCTGTCTGCTTGTCCTGAAGTGGGGATAATACCAGTTTGTTGATGGGAGGTTAAAATCCCCTTTGGGTCATTGGCTTGTCCTGGGATTTGGGTATAGTGGTTCTTAGGGCTTGCTTCCTTCCCCTTGTAAAGTGGGAAAGTGACCCAGCCTCAGAATTGGGTGGAAGCCCCCTCCATCACTCACTGGAACCCCCCAGGGGTGATAGAGGTGATGGAAGCATTTGTTGGGGCAAGCAAAAACCCCATTGTCTCTGGACCCAAGGTCCCAACCTAAAACCCATAATCCTTGGCCCTAGTCCATAGGCAGAAGAAAATGGGAAAGTGGGTTCCTAATATGTCAGTCCCCAAGCTTGGGCATTGCCCTTGACTCATTGCTGCAGCCTCATTGCCCATGCCCAGTCCATAAGAGTGCTTCCTGGCTTGCAACCAGAGCATGTCCTAAATCTGTCCTCTGCTCCCCTCCCTGGTCCAGGCCCTGCTATGTCCTTCCTGGACGCCTGCCCCAGCCTCTTCTCTGGTCTCCTTGCCTCCATCCCTCCCTTCTGGCAGTCTGTAATTCACCCAGAACCAGAGGGAGCTTTTAAAGGTGTAAGTCAGATTATGCCATTTTTTAGCATATGCAACAATCCAGGGATGGGACCTCTTCCCAGGTGAGACCCCAGCTCCCACCTCAGCCCCTGAGGCCCCTACCCACCTCTATGACCTCATCTCCACCCTCTTCACCCCACTGTCTGCAAGCTCCAGCCATACTGGCCTTGTTTTCGTGTTCTCAAGGCTCCAAGTCCCTGCTTCCCCAGGGCCTTCGCACCTGCTGCTCCTTCTGCCTGGAATGTTCTTCCTCCTGTGAGCATCACCTCCTCAAGGGAGCCCTTCCTGGCTGTGGGAGCCCCCCTTGTCTCTCTCTTGGCATGCCATTTGTTTTCATCTCTCTCTGGTTGGATTGCTGGTGGGCTGTCTGCCCAGGGACTGGCACACACATGGTCAGTGAGTGTCTCCTGAGGTAGTGGACAGTTTCTGGGCCCAGCTGTGGATAGGATGTGTCTGGCTGAGGTGAGGATTTCCCCCGCTGTGTCTGAGGCCTTGTTTTCCTGCTAAGCTAACAAGAAGTACTGGCCATGCCCTCTCTTCACATTTTCAGTACAAATTTATTGATGCTAATTGCTGCCCTTGATGATGCTTTGTGCAAACTCAGAACAGGCAGCTGGGCAGGGAGGCACAGCCAGGGGGTACCCAGCCAGGACTTAGTGCACATCTGGGGCCCCAGCACCTCTCACCACTCTGAGGCCTGGCCCCATGTGAGTCCTGCCTGTCTTATCCTCTGCCTTCAGGGAGGTGCCAGTCCAGCCAGGGAGGTGATGTGTAAACATGACCTTGTGGGGTTTGAGCGCACCTCTGGCAGAGGCTCCCCGAGGTGTGAGGCGAGGGAAGGGGCAGGGGGATTGTGAGTTGAGCGGACAGGCTGGCAGGTGTTTCTCACATGGGGAAAAGAAGGGCATTCTTGGACGATAGCACAGCACACAGCTGGGGGGCCATGTGGCCAAGCTGTGCCAGGACTCCAGAGGGTCTGGGCAGCACTCCCTGATGCCCCAAACTAGCCAGACCTTTTCCCTGGGCTGTCTTGGGCTGCATGGTACCTTGTGGCACCCTGCTCGTAATGGCCACTCTGCCCTCCTGGCACAGCTCTTTGACCCACGTCTGTGTGTCTGTAAGTGGCTGGTGCTCCCTGGGGCCAGGAGCAGGTGTGCTGTGGCGCCCCCCCCAGGGCCCTGCTGCCTGGCACATAGTAGGCGCCTGAGAACACCTGGCCAGGGGATAGAGTGGGCCCTGTAGTCTAGAGTGGAGCTGAAGTAGGGGTCCTGAGATGGGGGAGCAGGCTTGAGGGGCTTTGAGCCGGCTCCAGGGCAGTAGGTCATCCAGATGTGAGGGCCACTCCTGGGTGGGAGGGGTGGCCAGCTTCCTGGCCGGCCCTCCCACCTGCCCTGGAGGGTGGTGGGAAGCACCCAAACAGCAGCTAAGGTCTGTGTGACTTACTGCCTGAGCTCAGATCTAGGGATAGATTTCCTGAGGGTTAATGCAGCCTGCAGGAGCTCTGAGCCCTCAGTTTTCAGGCAGGGAAACTGAGGCACTGGTGTGTCAAAGAAAGAACTTAGCTTCTGAGATTGAGCAAAGCTGGGTTCACTTGACTTCCTTGTTTTCTCTTTGGGACTGTGTGGCCTCAGACAAGTGTCATGTGACCTTTTTGCCTCAATTTCCTCATCTTTACTACAAGGTGACTCCAGCCCCTGGCAGGCCATATGCAGAACCCCTCCCTGGCTGATGACAGCATTGCCCTTCTGCTGTGCTGAGAAGTCCCTCCCTTCACCAGGCTTTTGGCCATTGCCCCTCCCGAGCACCTCAGACTCTCATGCCTCAGTGTCCTGGGAGTGGACATGGCTCCCGCTGGCCTTTACTACCCTGTCTTGTGGCTGAGACTCACCTCCTAGCTGACAGTCTGCTTTTGCCCAGAATCAGAGTCTTTCCCCTCCAGAGCCCTTGCCCAGCTAATGCCAGAGTGTCAGAGCAAAAGGACTTTCCCAGGGTCAGGCTGTGAACGATCTTTGGCTTGCAGACTCATGCCCTCCCTGTGAGAGGCCGGGTTGTGGACCAGGCAGTGTTCCCTCCCAGGGCAGCCCCTGAGCTGCCCCCTGCCCACAGACCTATTTACCTCTGCCCAGCCGCTTTAAAAATAGGCAGTGACATGATAAGACTTAGATTTCTGAGTTTTCTCAGAACACAGGAGCTCAGTTGACCCAGGACTCCCGTTTCTCTGTCCCAGCCACCCTGTCCCCTTACCCCAGGTCTCTGCTCCTCAATCCCCTTTTGTTGTCATGCAGCCTGTGGGGTTTCTTAGGAAAGATGTGTCTTTCTCCATCCACGGTCTCTCAAGGTGGGTAAAGGGAAACAAGACCAGGAGTATAGTACTCAACAAGCACAGAGGGCAGGTGTGCCGGGGACAGGCCTGGTCCGGCTCCCCCCTGCTGCTTGATCCTGACTTTAATGTGACCGGTCCTCTCTGAGCCTATTTCCCTCCCTCTAGCCTGGTTATGGGTTGTTGTGAAGACCCTGAAGGAGAACATGCGCTTTCCCAGGGCTGGTTGCTTTTTTGTAGAAAACTTGAACAGAAAAACAGAAGGAGCGCAGAAGTGTCCTGGACGCCCATCCCACAGGGGCCCCAGAGCTGACCCAGCCTGCTGCCCGGGTTCTCATTTCCCATTTCCCTGTCCTCTAGGCAGATTTTTTGAAAGGATTGCCCGTCTACAACAAAAGCAATTTTAGTCGATTTCATGCTGACTCTGTGTGCAAAGCCTCGGTGAGTGTGTTCTGGGTGCTGGGAGGGGTTGGGGAGCTGCCAGGCTAAGGGGATGATGTGCACCTCACGATCGGGGTCCCTTTAAACCCAGTCCTGCCTGAGATCCTTGGACGTCTTGTGATCGGGCCTGGGGGGTGGGTGCCAGGTCGAGAGGCATATGGGGACTCCAGCCCTCCTGCCTGCCCTCTTAACCCATGTCTTCCCAACCCTCCCCCAGAACCGACGTCCCTCAGTCTACCTGCCTACACGGGAGTACCCATCTGAACAGAGTAAGTGTTCTCTGTCAGTCTGTTGTGACTGGGCTGCCGAGGGGAAGGCGGGAGCAGTGGAAGCCTGGCTTTTTCCCAGACCTACTGATCTCCATATGGAGGCACCCACCCTCAGGGGATCCCTCATTGGCCCTCTCCTGCTGCTCACTGGCCCTTCCCATCCAATTGGGTGTCCCCTGCCAGCTCTGTGACAGAGACCCTGAGACAAGTCCTATGGGACAGGCAGCTCAGGGAGGGAGTAACCAGCAGAGAGCCCTGCAAGAAAGGCCAGGATCCCACAGAGCAGGAGGGCCCCTAGGTTATTTTTTGTGGTTGTGACGCTTTATTTGAACTGTGAAAAAGAATCCCCTGTGCCTGCTGGGTGGGTTCAGGGCTCACTGGGGCACAGCTGTACAGATCTGTGCTGCTGGTCTGCCTGAGCCTTCATGGCGGGGCTTGTTCCGCTGCCCAAGTGGGGAGTCCCGTGCTCGGCAGAGAACAGCCTCTCCCTGGGAAGCAGGGACCCAGGTGGAGCAGGCGGCTCTTGCTCATGGCAGCAGCTGTGTGCTCAGGAGTGGAAACATGGCTTCCCGAGCGCTCCTCCCTGGGGTAGGGGTGCAGACATGGAGTCCCGGGAAATCCAGCCAGGCAGAGATGGGCCTGGAGACCGGGGGTGGGTGGCACAGGCCAGGATGGGAGCTGGGTTACCTGCAGGCTATTCCTGTGACTTTCTGTCTTTCCTCCTCAGTCATTGTAACAGAAAAGACAAACATCCTTTTGCGCTACCTACATCAGCAATGGGACAAAAAGGTAAGATCCCTGGGGTTCAAGTGCCAAGGCTTGGGACACAATGCCCAGCACTGGAGCAGGACAAGGGTGGCTGTGAGACCAGGTGTTCAGGTGGGGCCTTGAGGGCTGAGTAGTTCACCAGGTGATACAGGAGAGGAAAGAGTGTCCAGAGGAATGAATGGCGGTGCAGAGGCCGTAGGGTTCTGGGGCTCAGGGACAGGCAGGGGCCGAGCGAGCACACCAAGGCCTGTGGATGCCAAGGGCTGGCTCCCGTGGCCTGTGCTGAGCATGGGCTTTAATGTCGCTACATAGAATCTCTTTAATGTTGCAACGTTGTTTAAGAGCATAGTTGCAGTGAAAAGTTATCCTTCTTTCCGTTGCCCCAGAGGCCACCTTCTAACGTACAGGGTGGCTTTGCTCTTCCTTGCAGCACGGTCAGGTTTTTTGCCTAATTTTGGACATTAGTAGTGACCTGCTCTGGGCGGGGTTGGAGCATGACCCCTGATGAAGTGGCTGCTCAGACAACCCGAGCTGCCTGGCTCACCCCTTCTCTCCCTTCCCAGGCCTGCAGGCTGATTCCTGCCATCTGGGAGAGCAGACTCCCAAACCACCCTGCTTTTCTCTCTGTGGCCATGCGCGGTTCATGAGTGCCCTTTGGCCTCCAGACAGCTGGATGGCTTGTCTGAGCCTTTTGGTCTGACTGTGGGTCATCACGAGGCATGCTGACTCCTTCATGCCCAGGAAACACCTGACAGTCATAGGCCAGCAACCCCAGGGGACTGTGCTTTAGGGCAGGAGGGGCTGCGAGCCATGGAGCCCTGGAGCGTGGGAGGGCATGGGTTTTGGGAGCTCACCCAAGTGAAGACACACACCCCCTTTCCTTCCCTCGCCCCCCAGAATGCTGCCAAAAAGAGAGACCAGGAGCAAGTGGACCTCGATGGCGAGAGCTCGGCACCCCCCCGCAATGCTCAGGGACAGGCAGGGGCCGAGCGAGCACACCAAGGCCTGTGGATGCCAAGGGCTGGCTCCCGTGGCCTGTGCTGAGCATGGGCTTTAATGTCGCTACATAGAATCTCTTTAATGTTGCAACGTTGTTTAAGAGCATAGTTGCAGTGAAAAGTTATCCTTCTTTCCGTTGCCCCAGAGGCCACCTTCTAACGTACAGGGTGGCTTTGCTCTTCCTTGCAGCACGGTCAGGTTTTTTGCCTAATTTTGGACATTAGTAGTGACCTGCTCTGGGCGGGGTTGGAGCATGACCCCTGATGAAGTGGCTGCTCAGACAACCCGAGCTGCCTGGCTCACCCCTTCTCTCCCTTCCCAGGCCTGCAGGCTGATTCCTGCCATCTGGGAGAGCAGACTCCCAAACCACCCTGCTTTTCTCTCTGTGGCCATGCGCGGTTCATGAGTGCCCTTTGGCCTCCAGACAGCTGGATGGCTTGTCTGAGCCTTTTGGTCTGACTGTGGGTCATCACGAGGCATGCTGACTCCTTCATGCCCAGGAAACACCTGACAGTCATAGGCCAGCAACCCCAGGGGACTGTGCTTTAGGGCAGGAGGGGCTGCGAGCCATGGAGCCCTGGAGCGTGGGAGGGCATGGGTTTTGGGAGCTCACCCAAGTGAAGACACACACCCCCTTTCCTTCCCTCGCCCCCCAGAATGCTGCCAAAAAGAGAGACCAGGAGCAAGTGGACCTCGATGGCGAGAGCTCGGCACCCCCCCGCAAGGTCGCACGGACTGACAGCCCAGACATGCACGAGGACACTTAAGACTCTTGTTCCCCTACTGGTGCCTCCTGTCTTGTCTGCTCCTCGCCCAACAGCCTTGTGTAAGCACTGCCCCCCCCACCCCTGCCAGCCTGCCTACGCCTGGCCACCCATACCACTTCCAACCTCATAGGAGCCAATGTATTTATTTTCCTTGAGTTTTTATTTATGCTGTAAAATGTACCAAGCGATGGTTAAAGGGGACGTCAGACCCAGTAGTGTGATGTTGGTAGATGCTTTTTAAAAACGTTATTCACCCAACACCCCCTGCCCTCAGTTCCTCTCCTCCTGCCCCCAAATCTCCCCTGGAGATCAGAGTGTGTCTGTGAGGGTCCAGAGTGGCCAGCAGCACAACTGGGGGCCGTTCTTGCGCCCATCCACTGGTCTGGGCCTTAAAGACTTGGCCAGGACCTATTCTGTGCCCAGACCTTGCTCTGAGCATGCACCAGGGGGAGAAGTTGGCCCTTACGGATCTTTCTCTTAAGTCGTTTTATCATGGACTAGTGCGTGCTCCATGTCCACCCCAATAAAAGGATCTTTCCGACTTGACCTCGCGTCTTTGCTCCGCGTGCCTCAGCCCCAGAGGACGGAGCCACTGAGTCATCCCATCGTCAACAAGTGGAGCTGAGCGGGGCCCACACTCTGGGGCCTCAGGACCAGCTGGATTCTCTCTTGGGCCTGCTGCGGCCACCTCACTTGGAGCCAAGACCTGCCTGGACCCATTCCCTGCCTCACTTATCAAGGTGTCCTCAAAGACCAGAACACCCCTGAGAGATGGTCTGTGCCAAGGACAGAGCTGTGGTTGACCCCATGCCTGGGATGCCGTGGGTCAGGGCGGTTCGCCCACAAGCCACCAGAGACAGCCCAGGTGGCCTGGCCTCAACATGCCCTGGTCAGAGGAGGCACTTGGGAGTGCCAGGGGACATTAGTCTGGGCCATAGGTCTGAGATACACAGCCACTCTGGGGCACCTGTTGGGCTGGGTTTGGCGCTAAGCTTGGGGACATAGGAGGTGTTAGGCTCTGGGCAGAAGGTTCGAGGCCTTGACCACTGTCTTTGTCTCCCAGCCCAGCACCATCTGCACCGGAGCTGGGTCCCTGTGGTCATGTGGCAGACATTAAGGAAATGCAAGCTTGACCATAATTGTGCTCAGGTGGGCTGTGTCCCCAAGGGTACTCAGATTCCTCAGAATCCCGGGGTTTCAGGGGTTGGTCTGGTCTTGGGCAGGCATGTGGCATTGTCAATTGCTAGCGTCTGAGAAGATGGCAGACTTCAGCTTCAAAGACCCTGGGGCAGAGTGGGATCAGGTGGCACACCTGCCCTCTTCTCTCCAGCCCTGGCTCCCCTTTTCAGGGGCTGGGTTCCATCTGCTGCCAGTGTCATCTGTGGCTCTGGCAGGGGTCCCACGTCCTCCCTGTGGTCGTCCCAGCATAGGCCCCTCAGCTGATCTTCACCCATTTCTGCCTTTGGGGTGCCCCTACTCTGCCTTCCCATGACCTCTGTGCCTTTGCACAGGCTGCTGTCCTGCTTCAACCCGTTTCTCTTTTCACAGCCTCCCCAAAGTGCCCCTTCCTCACACTGGCTCCCCTTTGGGCTTCCCCTGCCTGCTCTGGGCAGGCCACATCGAGCTCTGAGTCTTTGGATGTGGGCATGCTTGTGGGTGGGAGAGGCTACGTCCAGTCCCACATCATGCAGTAGAGTCCCAGCAACTTGGGTCTGACAGATGTCCTGCAGTAGGGTACCCTAGCCACTCCCCAGTGCTACCCCCTAACATCCCTCAGCACCACAACATGGGTGCCAGGTGCCTTCTGATTTTCACATACCAAATTCTTATACCTGGGAGATGGGTGTGCCAGAAAATGGCCGAGGGGACCCTGCATTGCTGAGGCCGACTTGGGACCCAGGCCCGGAGCCCAAACTGCTGAGTCCTTTCAGCACTTTGAGATTGCTTCCTTTGTCGAGGAGTCTGACGCCAGGGCCGGAGGCTCTCCAGCTCCTCCCAGGGGCCCTGGGGCCTGGAGTTGGCCCCCAAATCTGGGCCGACCCAAAAGCAGCACAGTCTGGAGTTTTCCGTCTCCAGCCTCAAGACCCAGTTCTTAGCAGGTGACCCTCAAGGTTACAGGGCAGGAGGGGTGCCTCCCCCAGGCCTCAAAAGAGTGCCAATGTCAAGTCACCGGGCCCCTGGAGACCCCTTCCACTGCTCTGTCCTCTGGCACTGTTGAAATATACTTTTTATTGCATTTCTGCCGTTTTACAAAAATATGACAAAATAAATTAAAAACAAATAAATAATCGCCTATTCTGTGTGTTTTCTGTTGGGTTTTGGGGGGTTTCCTTTCGTCTCCCCCATCTTGGTTGAAAGGAAAACGGCAGATGGGGGCGGGGGAAGGCCGGGGCCGGTCCAGGGCTGATATTGCATATGAGAACAGGAAGGCAGAGGCGGGCGGAGCTAGTGCCAGCCGCTCGGCCAGCACACGGCCTGGGGGCTCGGGCTGGCGCTGGGCGAGGGCGCAGAAGGCTCGGGGGCCTCGGAGTTGGGCGGCAGTGGTGGGGGAGGGAGGCTGTAGAAGCTGGCGTCCCCAGGCAGGGGCTGGGGGGCGGGCGGGGGCCCAGCCAGGGCGCAGGGCGGGCACTCGGCGAGGGCGGGGGCGGGGGCCTGGCGGGCGGCGGCGCCCTCGCCCCCGCAGCCCCACGGCCCGTCCCACTGCCAGCAACCGGGGGGAGGTGTCAGGGGCCGGGGCAGCGACGTTGGCGGCGGCGGCGGCGCGGGGCTCCGGCTGCGGCGGGTGCGGAGGGCAGGGGCGCCCACCAGGGCCAGCTCCGTCCCTGCGGAGGCGAGAGGGGCCGTTCCGTGGGGATGCCGCCCCCGCCTCCGGACCCCGCTCCGGACCCTGCCCGTGCTCCCTCCCGGCCTTCGAGGCACATCGGGGGCCTTATTGCTTCTGATCAGTGGCACGCGGTGGGGAATGGGCCACGCGGTGCAGGGCAGCTGCGGGTGCATCCCTTGTTTCGGGCCCTGGGCCCCACCCCCCTCACGAGGAGGGGCCACCTCTTGGGCTCCCAGCGGATGGGCTGCTGGACCACAGGCTGGGAGTTGGGACTGTGGAGCTGGGAGGGGTAGTGGGGGTGAGGCCTGTGCCTCTGCTCAGCACAAATGTGGGTGCAGCCTGTGGCCAAGCACCTGGGGTTCCCTGGGTGGGCAGCCCTGGTCCTCTCCTCCAAGGAAGGCCTCCTGGAACATGTGGGTTGCAGGGTGGGGGCTTGCATAGAGGCCTAGGGGGTCCAGTCCCCCCAGAGTGAGCTGAGTATGGTGTCTGCTGAGTGCAGGAGAGACTGGGCCAAGTGGTGAAGGGGCCTCCCTTATCTCTCCTGCACTGGAGTGTGGTGGGCAGGGCGCCCCCGGATGGGTACTTGGACGGGAGCTTTGGCATCACTCCGTGGGGTAAGGAGGCTCAGGCACGGGGCTCCAGGTTCTCAAGGATCCCGGAGAGACTGAGAAGGCTTTGCCAGAGAGGCTCCATGTACCACGTACCCAGGTCCCCACCTGGTGCCAGCGATGGGGCCTCCTCTGTCCCCTGCAGCCCTCTCCCCAGGCCTGGCGGCCCACCTCCCCCCACAAAGCCCAGCCCAGTGCCCCCACCCCCGAGTTAAAGCTTGTGACCTGAGGCTTCCTCTTCAGGCCTGGGGGTGTCTGGCTCCTCAGCCGAGGCCTCGTCTGTTGGCCCACTCCGCTGGGCCCGGCCTCCGCCACCGCTGAGGGTCCCGTCTGGCCGGGCCTGCCCACCTGCCCCGTTGGCCCCGGCCTCAGCCCGGGCCCCGCCGAAGGGGAAGAGCTTGCCGGCATGGAAGGCCTTGGGGGGCGAATGGCTGCGCTCAGGGTCCCGCCGGGTCTCGGGTGACTTGAGGAACTTGAAGCTGAGGAAGGCTGGCAGGCGGGTGTCACTGCCTGTGGGTGACTGGGCAGGGGGAGCCCGGGCAGCTGGGCCTGTCCCTGTGCCAGCCAGCGAGGACGTGGCACCAGATGACAGAAATTTGCCCTGCAGTGGGATGATCTGCTTCAGCTTCATGACATTGTTGGGGGCCAGCAGGGACCCTGGGCGCTTGGGCCGCTCCAGCCCGTGGCCGCCTGGCCCGCCGCCCTTGGCCTTGGCTGAAGCCTTCTCAGGGGCAGCGGGGTCCAGCCTGGAGCCCTCGGCCCGTGCCTCCTCCCTGCCACCAGCGTCACGCTCCCGCCGGGCATGGTGCTCTGCATGGCGCTGGCGCTCCTCCTCCTCCCGCCGCCGCCGCTGCTGCTGCTGGTAGTGGTGCTGCGCCTGGCGCTCGTGTCTCTGCAGGCAGAGTGGAGTCATTATGGGGGGCGCTGGCAGAGGGGTGGGTGCGCAGATGCCATTGCCTGTGCTTTCTGTGCAACTGGGGAGAACCAAGCACTTACGGGGTGCCAGCTGCATCCCAAGACCCACCTTGGGGCTCTCTGGGGAAGTGGGGAGAGATCCAAACACTGACTGGGCACCAACTGCTTCCCTAGACCCGTGCCAGCACTTTCTGAGAATGGAGAAGAGGACCAACATTCCCTGGCCCCTCGCTCTGGCCCTGGCCACCTGCCACACAATGTCTTGGAAACCGGGTGAGCGTAAACAGTATCAGGCCCTGCTGGTCCCCTGCTTTCTGGAGAACGGATAAGAGACAGAGCTGTGACTGCCACAGGCCAGAGTTTACCCTGGGCAGCCCAGTTGCCAGCAGCCACACGTGCTTTGTCAATATCAATTTAAATAATTAAAATAAAAGTTCTGTTTCCCACTTGAACCACCCCCTTTTCACATGCCCGTTGGCCACCTGCAGTGAGAAGCTGCACTGGCAGTGTGGACACGGATCATGCGCAGCCTCATGGGGAGCTCCTTGCAACTTTCTAAGGAATGTGGCAGAGGCTGTGCTTCTAGAAAGCGTCTGCTGTGTCGCTGGCCCCATATGCTGCTGGACTACACGTTCACGAGTACCAGCCTGGTGCTGGATACTGCCAGGATTCTGGAAGGTACTGGCTCATTTGGAGCAAAAATTATCGTACTGGGCCCTGTGTATTTGCTCTCCTGCGAAGGACCTGGCTGATGGCCGGGAGAGGTGGAGAGGTCCCATGGAGCAACAGAGGGTATGGAGCCAGGCCTAGCCCACACACCTTGAAGGCCTCCCGCCGCTGGTACTCGAGCTTGGCCATCTCCTCGGCCACCCAACCAGGAATGTCAGGGATGGCCACGTGGATGAGGTACTTGAGGAGCAGAGCGAAGTGCTGAGATGACAGAGGAGAAGGCTGCATGCCCAAGGGATGCCTGCCCACCACCCACCACCCCACCCAGCCACCAGCCCCACCTCGAGCACCACCACTGACACGATGGCTGCCTCAGGGCTGAGCCAGGGAAAGAGGCGCTGCAGCTGCCCACACTGGCCAATCAGATAGCAGTTGACCACGATTGCCAGGACACCCATAGCCTCCATCACCTTCTGCAAGGGGACATGGCCGGGGGGCTCAGGTGAGGTCTGGCTACTGTGCCTGGCCTCCTGCTCCCCCCTGGCACTCCCCGGACCTTGGCTGCTGGCCCTCAGCCCTCTCCACACCTGCCACTGGCCGATGCTCTCCACCCGCTGCCCAAAGGGCCGCTGCAGCCCCGTGCACAGCTTGAGCGCGTCGCTGCGGATCTCGATGAGGTTGTTGACCAGGGCGCACAGCGCAGCCAGGGGGAAGGCGGACGAGAAGAGCACGACATAGCCAAATTGTACGAACATCTCCTGGTAGTCCTGGAAGGTGTCCTGTGGGCAGGCACCTGGGTGTGGCCTGGGGCCCTCCCTCAGACCGCCTCCCCTAGACCGCCGTCCTCTCTGCCAGCCCCCTCCCTCGGACTACCCACAGGGACCCGCTGGCAGGTTCCCACCCACACCAAGGGCCCCATCTCTTCCCCCCCACCCCACACACCTCTACGCTCAGACCATGCGCCCCGCCCCTCCGAGGGTCCTGCCGCCACCCGCAGTGGCCCTGCAGTCGCCCTCCTCACCTCGTACTTCCTCATACAGCTCTCGAGCTCCGCCTGGGTGAGCTGGGGCGCGTGCTCCTCCTTAGGAGGGTCGATCCAAGACGACCGGTCCTGCCGCCGCCTCCGGGCGGAGTCACCAGGGCCCGGCTCTGAGTCCGGGCCACCGTCGGGCCCCTGATCGCGGCCCTCACCCCCAGCGCGGCGAAGCAGGGTAGCTGGGGGGTCCCGCTCAGGGCTGCTGGAAGCCCCCTCAGCCTCATCGTCCTCCTCGGCCAGTGTGAGTACACCTGGCTCCAGCCCTTTCTCCACCATAGTGGGGCTCCCTTCTTCCAGGAGGGCCTCCGGGCTGGGCTGCCGCCACCTGGCCCCACGCTCAGAGAAGCTGACCTTCTTCAGCCGGAGCCCACAGTCCAGGGGGCCGCCCTCCTCGCCCTCCTCGTCGTCAGCCTCAGCCTCCTCCTCCTCCTCGTCCTCCTCGTCCTCCTCCTTGTCCCCCCTTGGCCCGTCCACCACTTCCCCATCTTCCCCCAGGGGCCGTTGCTCCACTGTGGCCTCCTCCTCCTCCTCAGGTGCCCCACAGCCTCCACCGAGACACCTGCGGCCTCCCCCACTACTGCTGCCACCACCCTCTTCAGCCTGGGGCTCGAGGTGGCGGGGTGCAGGGTGCTGGAGGCTCAGCAAGCCCAGCAGAGCGCGGGCCAGCTCCCAGGCAGCCCGCAGGCCGAGCTCGCCTCGGCCCAGCCGCCGGTACAGGTGCGGCTGCAGGACCTCGCGTACATTCTGGAGGAACTGGCGGGTGATCAGCAGGGTGGCCAGCATCTGGGGGCAGGAAGGGGGTGGAGAGAGGCCAGGTGGCAGGGTGGGAGAGGCCTGGGCACCTGACCGGCGGTTGGGACCTCCAGGAGGCCATATACAGACACATGCCCTGAACTCGATGCTCACCCACCCCTTTGGACATCCCTGGACATGGAGGTCCCAACTTTCAGCTTCTGCAGCCTCTGCCACGGGTCACCTGCCACAAACCACAGCCCCGCAGGCCACAGTGCTCCTAGCCACATGGGCAGGCAATGCACATCTCCACCCTAGTGGTGGTAATGGTGGGGTGCCTCCCTGCTTACAGCACTGCCCAGGGGCTCAGCTGCTGCCCAGGGCCTTGAAGGGCTCCTGCTATCTGCCCCACATCAGCCTTAAGCATGCACCCTTGGCTTGGTGTGAGGCCCCCAGCACACCATACTGCCAACCTGGCAAGGCCCTGTGGGCTTGCCACCTGCCCATATTTTAGCCCAGACCATGAGCAGGAGGCCCCAGAGGGAGAGGAGGAACAGGTGGAACCAGAGGGCCATGAGCGGGACCAGCACCGCCTGAAGCTGCTGATCAAGGCTCTGGGAGAGGGACAGGACGAGCAGGAGCTGTGGAAGGACTGATGGACAGATGGATGGACAGATGGGGGGACAGGCAGAGAGAAGACACATGGACAGGCGGACAGAGAGGAGAGAAGGATGGAGGAGGGGGAGGGGCTGGAGAGCCCATGGACCCCTTGTGCCAGGTCTGGCTCCCAGCTGGCCACCGCTTGGGGGCACTGCCTCAGGTTGGGGCTTCACCTCTTTCAGGCGTTCCATGTCTTTGAGGTAGAAGCCAATGTAGAAGAGGCTCAGGTATGAGTTGACAAATTGGAACTGCGGGAAGCAGGCATGTGGGGAGTCACCCTGTTGCCCTGGTCCCCGAGAGCCACTGCCGTGCCCCACGTGGACCCCCTACCTTCCTGCTGGCTGCCACTCACCAGGACAACCTTGATGATGAGGTGCTTTTCGTAGGCACTCTCCAGCCGGTAATTCTCTGGGGACCAAGGGGGCAAGTGAGGTGGCCGCCCAGGCCCCCTGAGAGCAATGAGGACCCAGAAGGG